TCTAAAATGCTCCCCGTGTCCTTTAGTTGCGGGTTGCCTTTGGAAATGAACTAATGTGCTTTCTTTTATCTAAGAGTATATTATATAGGTTTTTTTTTGTTTATTGACCTAACCTACAAGGATACTCAGAAATAAATTTAGTTGCAAATGGCAGCCTTATCCCATGTTCTCTTCCTAAATACTTCATTACCTCACTCTCTTTTACTTTAACTTCTCTCCTTTAAATATATATTAAAGTAGGCCTGAGATTATTGTGAATATAGATAGTGTGTAGGCCACATGTACCTAAAGAAGTCCAATATCATAACTTTAATTATTTTTACTATTCTCAACTCAATTAGTGTGGAATTCTATATATTCATTTTTCCTTATATTTATGTATATATGTGTATGATTTATCCTTCTAGGTATGGCCAGGATTAACAGTATACCCTGATTTCACTAGTCCAAGCTGCATAGATTGGTGGGCAAATGAATGCAGTATTTTCTATCAAAAAGTGAATTATGATGGACTTTGGATTGTAAGTAGCTATTTTAAACTGGTAATTTTGGTCAATGAACATAAAATTATTTATTCATAAAAAACTAAATCAAGATACATTTTTCTGATGTATTCAACATAAAATTAAAAGCTCCCATAATTTTTTTTCTAGGATGTATAAATATACCTGTTATGTATATGGACTAGAAAAGAATAAGATCTAAAAATGCAAATTGAGATTTTTATTTCTTCCCTTATACTTCATAGAATAAATTTTGTTTCTGTAACTAAGCTGTTATAGCTTTATGACAAGTAACTTATCTGAAAAACAGTTAATGAGATTTGGAGATAAACGTACAGCAGTGCAATTCCAAAAACCCTTATTAAAGTTTAAAATTTTCAAGTAGTATGAACCTGAAGAAAGCCCCACCCTTTACAGATTTCCTTTTAGTAAGTTATGGAATATAACAATCCCAAATTGGCAATAGTTAAGTGTTTTTATCTCAAAACAACAACAATAACAAACAAAAACCTGAAATACTTGTAAAGTTATTAAGGGAAAACACATGTTTAGAAATTTCCTTGAATGAAGTTTTGTATCTCTACCTGGCTGTTGATAGCCTGCTGCTGGGCTTATGGTATATAATAGCACTGGATGATAGTCAAACGTTTAGTGCCTTTGCTTATGGTAACTATAACACATTTCAGAAATGAAACTACCTGGTGATCTCAGAAGTCTATATTTTAGAAAAAAAGTCTGATGGCCCAAACACAAAGAGAACACCAGGATTTTGTTCAAAAGTAATACATAACTGCATAGGATTTTGAAAAAAATAAACATAATGAACACCCTAGGGATAGCTATCTTTTCTTTGGCTGTTTATAGGCACACTATCTCTATTTTCCTAAAGCGATTATTACTCATTGTCATTATTTTAATTATTCATTTATTTATTCCAATAATCATTTCCTTACAAATGTTTATTTTGCACCATGTGTATATCAGGTTTGTTGTAGGGAATACAAAAACAAGAAAATTATGTTTTCTGCTGACAACTTGGAATTGAATAAAAAGTAAGAGTAATTACTCTGCAGAATTTCTGTGATGGTAGTAACAGAATGAAGACGGAGAGGCTTTAGTTACTTAACACAAAATCAGTGAGATAACACTGCTGGTACCTAATAATTGGTAGAAATAATCAAAAAATTTCACTCTGATCTTGATCTTTACTTTTAATTCTAGTTCTTAAATTATTTAATTGAAATTAAAAGTTTCTTCTCTCCTACTTAGGAAACATTTCAATTACAGCAGAATTAAAGATATAAAATGGCACTTTAGGATTTCAGTGAAAGAGAGTTTCTGATACAAAAAGAGAGAATAAATACTCCATTCCTTGCTTCCATTGAAAATTGAAATTCCTGATTCATCTCCAAAAAGAGGAAGTGGATGAAAGGGAAAACATCACCTGAGAAAGGCGGAGTTTTTCCAATACTAATATAAAAGCATTTTGACTAAGCCTTAAACAAACAAATTAAAAATCACTACATAAAAAACGATATAATTTCAAGGCTCATTAAATATCATGAATTAATACTCAGGAGACTTTCTGGTGAAAATCTTTTTCACATTATTATGAGCTTCATCAGGAAAACACCCACACATTTTCCTAGCCTTAATACCTATTAATATTTTATAGAATATATATTTTTAATACCTACTGTGTTGGATATGGATAGATCAGAGAACCAATATGGATTAATTGTATATAAAACAATATAATTTTTCTCAATTTATCTGAAATTGAATTTTTCTTGCCTAGTGCTATAATAAGTAAAATGATGCAAAATAATTTTAAGAAGCATAAATCATAAAGAAACAGCATAGTTTATATATTGTTTAATAGCATGGACTCAGATATAAAATTTCCTGGGTTTGAATTCCTGCCGTACCTGTTATTAGTGGGGTGACTTTGAAAAACTTATAACTTCTCTGTGCATCACTTTTCTCATCTGCAAAATAAGGATAATTATAGTCCCTACCTCACCTGTAAAGTAGTGATAAAAATAGTACCCGCCTTCTAAAGTTCTAATAAAAATTAACTGTTAATAATCTTAAAAGTCCTTGAAACAGTACCCAGTGTATGTATCACATTTATTTTTGCTAATAAAAACAAAATATAAAAGAAGCTTTTTTCTTTTTCTTTTTTTTAATTTTTTATAGTTTACAAAGCACTTTAT